AAGCGCCATTATTCTCAACAAGGCTGCATTTATTTGATCAAAAAATAAATAAATAAAATTTTAATATAATAAGAAATATTATTAATTCTGTAATAATAAGTTCTATTTTAATATATTTTGAAATATATTGTATTCCTATAATGCAAAGTTGAATTTTCAAGTGTCACATGATCAGTGGCGGCTCGTGGGTTTTAAAATAGAGGAGGCACACTAATTGTATTGGTCTGGGGATCCCTGCCGATTATTATTATTATTATTTGCTTAACCACTTTAAAATGGCTTTTTGGTTGCTTTTAGTCAGAAAACGTAAAGAAAACAACACACATACAGCAAGATAATATAATTTCACTTACCTGGCATATCACTTGAAGCAAACATCCATTCCTTCTTAAAAGTCTGTGTTAAAAGAGCTGACTGCTGTAACGTTATCAGCTTAGGTGTGTTCTCCCTTTATTTTTAATTTGTATATATACTGTTTGAATGACAGCTTGATAAATCTGTTGGTGATCAAATATTCAATATCGCTACTCATAAGTACTTGGTACATTATCAGCGCAGCGGGAGACGTTCAAACTAATATCACGTCATTTACATCTCTTTGATGATTGGTTGATATACCAGAAGTGAGGCTAGCCTCCCCTACGAGGTTTCTTTTCTCAACACTCCTCAGCGCTGAATGTGAACACGTGATGCCGATTGGCAAATTTTTTTTACCAACGGAGGCACGAGAACTCAGCTCTCCCCCGGCCTCCCCCTCCCCTTCTCTATCAATATTACATCAGCAGATTCGGCACATTCGCGATATATAAGCGGCGCTTTCCAACTTCATTAACATGTTATGGTATTACAGCTGTGAAATTACAAACAAAAAATACACATTCTGAGACATGAATTGAAATGAATTGTGAATTTTATTAACATTAAATCATCCTCCTCCCATTTTCACCTCAAAATTTTGGGGAAGCTGTGCCTCCCCTGCCTCCCCCGACGAGCCGCCACTGCACATGATCCTTCAGAAATCATTCTAATATGCTGATTTGCTGATATGCTAATAAAAAAGTTCAAAAGAACAGTATTTATTTGAAAAAAAATAACACTGTAAATGCAGTCACCTTTGATCAATTTAATGCTTGATTGCTTAATAAATGTATTAATTTCTTTCCAAACATATTTCTTGTGAACTTTTGAACGATAGTGTCTTTTTTTTTAACAGTGGATAAGTGCAAGTGAATACATATTATATAGTTTTGTAGTTTTTAATTATGCATATTCTTCAGATTAAAATTGTTGCATTGTAATTAAAAAATAAAATAAAAAACCTGCTACTGCTAGCTACTCCCTGCCATCTTTCACATGGTTTTTAACATTCACAAGTCAGATAAGACTGAGAATACTAAGTTTCCTCCTGGTTCTTTTCTGGTCAGTCATATGCACAAAGTCAAGATATATTCAACTTTACTTGAAAGCTATGCTATTGTAGCATGCCCATGCTAATAATATAATGATGATTACTGCATATAACACGCACAGAGAGATGAGTCCTTACTCGACTAGAAATACAATTAGGAGCTACATAATAATTCAATGTCATGTAATTCACTTAGAAGTAATTGTAATACTTTATAGCAACATTTTATCACATTACGCTACATTAAGACACTTAACAGACACTTTTACTTAATGCAATTTAAGTCTTAAAGGAGGATCACAAATCAATTAGAATCAACAAGGAGATCCTGTTTCCCCTTTAATGCATTCATGAAATGTTAGACATCCCTGAGCCACAGAAAAGTTATTTGTTAGCTTGCATTTGCTTTACATGCAAAAAATTGCTTGTGTTAAATAACTCTAGTAAGATCTTTCAAAAGGGCACATGCTAATGTAGTCACTGACTCTAATACCTCATTTACAAAAGCACATAGTTCCACTGCACTGAATTCAAAGTGGTGCTATACAAAGCTGCTGAATATGTACAAGAGGAACTGAGCAGATGAAATTCACACTGAGTTTGGTAGCAGTCTGGCACGGTCGTGCAACTGGCGGTAAATATTTGCTGAAAACCCTGTGTGCTAACTAGCCATGCTTAATTGGGCGAATTTTCATCTATGTAGCAAACTTCATTACACAAATTTAATTCTGTTGTCAAAACATTTATCTGGATGTCTCCCTTAATTCAGAGCTATTTGTTATTAAGACCTACAATATGATTTACTGGGTAATGCTACACTGCAAAATGAATATAAAATGCTACATAATGAAAGCAGAGTGGATGTGCGTTGCTGTGAATGCCAAATGCAATGTAATGGAAGCAGATAATTTGTGCCTTCCTAGTCTGACATGATACTTTGAATTGGTTTAGCGTGATATTTTATTCTAGAATAAGTGAATGTACAGATATATCTTGGGAAATGTCACATTAAATTCACATCATTATGAATTTTAATGTTCATCTCTGCCTGGACTCTGCCTTTTTTTTTGGTGGATTTGTTACGTATGCATCCGCACATGCTTTTTCAGCTTGCATGGAACAACATTTCCCACATCAAAGGGGTCAAAGTAGAGTTGGTTAGCATGACCCTGTTAGCCCCTGATAGTAGATGTGACACCATCTGCCTGCAAATAAACAAGTTGCTTCACTGACAACAATTCAACCTGATCTGTGTATTCTGGGGGGAAAAGGGTTTTGTAAATAACATATGAAGCACAAATATTTTATTATATTATAGACAGTGATGCACCGAAAATGCAGCAACAAAAAATTCGATCAAAACAGCAAATTTTGGTTTTGGCTGAAATAGTTTTGAAGGGCCGAAACTGTTGACTAATATCAGTTTTTCGTTTTTAATTGATAATGATATGGATTATTAAATCACAAGATAGATATTTTATTCTATGCTGTTTTATGCATCTGCCATCGAAATAACTGCAACAGCCTTGCATTTTTGCTGTTAATAAAAAACACAGTCAGCTTTCGAATTCTGTAAATTGTATCCAAAAAACAAACAATACGTGTGGTTTTGACACTCTAAGCATGAATGAACATAAGAAGGTCTGTTGAGAGAAACAGTAGAACTTACAGAAATGTATCATGTCTCAAGTAATCGCTCAAGTAGTGTAGGGAAGTCAATAAATCAGCTTGTAAACAATGCCAAGTAATGTTGTATTTATCTCAGGAAAGCCCTTCAGTGTCCATAAAGTCATTAGTCAGCTACAAAAAACGAGCACTATATGCTACTATATTACATATTCATAATATTTGACTTAATCTGTTTGAATGAAAACAAGTTGCTATTACAGCCACCATTTAAATATTTATAGTTCAACAACAAATTAGAGTACAAACTTAATTCTTTTCATGAATCAAAAAGACAAAAAAGCACGTTTATACAACTTCGTTTTCGTTTTTTGGCTCAACGACAACATTAATTTCATTAATTTAAACTTTGGCCTAATAAAACCTTTCATTTACTGGTGTTAAATTAATTTTGGTGAATCGCTAATAGTAGATGTCTTACTATGTCTACTGAAAGGGTGAAATGGATTTATATTAGCATTTTATTTGTCTCCCTGTCTGCTGCATTTGACATCACATCACAGATTAAGGTAATGAAAATGCTAATGCTAGAGGCTATTTGAAAAAAATTGTAGACTAAAAGGGAGTCTGGGGTATCAAGGCACAATTGATGATGTCTCAAAACTGCTGTACTGTCTAACTACATTCACATAGGCAGTGAAGCACACTTTTAGTCTGTGATTTACTAAATTTTTGTGCATATAAAACACACTCAAACCAGATGGCACATGCAAAAAAAAAATCTGCTGTGTCTACTGAGGATTCTGTATTCCAGATATAGCACCAGAAGATAGTGCCTCTTGTCTGTTTTCGCAGGTTTCTCTTAATGAATATGTCATTTGGGGCATGCAAAATAAAGGGCAACGTCAATGCAAATTAATTAAATAGTTCTTGCAAAGTGATTTATCACCTCTGAAAACTTCAGAAAAGGTGTGCAAATGAATACCACATTAGATTAAGAGCACAAAATCATATCTGAATGTAACATATTCAAACTTAAAACATATAAAACACACTCATCTGCAAGACAGTACCTATCCAGGCGCTGCAACTAAGTGTACATAAAAATACAAAATTAAAACTTTTTTGTTGAAAAAAAGTTGAAAAAATTGAAAACCTAAATATTCAAAATGAAACAAGTGCGGCTATTTGTGTTATTCTTACCCTTAGTATACCCATGATGCTTACAGACAATTTGATAGACTGCACAAGCCAGTTAGTACATTTTATTTGAGATCTTGGTAAATCAGGGCCTTAATGAATAATATAATTATGCGAACAAAGACTCAGCCTTTCGTTTCTCTTTCAAGACAGCTACAGGTTTGCTTCTGTTCTAGAATGTGAGATATTTCTGCTGAGGCAGCAGGGTTTTATTTACTGCTGTATTACAAAGCTTGTTTCTCAGCTGCTGTGTTTTATTGATATTTAAATTAGCAGGAGATGGGTTTCGGTAAGGACTGTAGTACCGATTCAAACGATTTGCCTCTTGATCATTTAAAAACCACACCGCCAACCCTTATCTGATGCCAAATGTTAAGATTCTAACATAATGAAACCAAAATAACCTTTCCCAATGTGAGCTAGACGATTAGCGGGTTGTCTTGTTATGATCATCACACAGACGCCATTAAATGTCTTCATTGCACTATAAAAAAAGAAAGTTATATTGGTTTGGAATGATCAAGGAGTAAATAATAACAGATTTGTTGATTCTGGGTGAATTCAGCCTTTAAAAGAAAGAGAAATCTAAAGCAACCGCATCCAGACTGCTGAGGCACAATTTTGCAACCCTCTTCAAATTCGGATCCGTTTAAGCGAGCAAAGGAATGATGATGAATTAAATTTTTAAAGATTAGAATAGCAAGTTTATTGCAGTATAAAAATCAGTGTCAGTAACAATAAAGTGTTTATCGTCAAACCTGCTCACCCTGAGTTTCCAGGTTCTCGCACAGCTCCGACTTGGCTTCTCCGTTGGGCCGCAGGCTAGCCTTGGGGTTGAACTTGTTAGACATGGTGGCGGCAGTGACCACAGCTTTCAGGCTGCGAGTGCTGCGTTTGGCCACATTCTGTTCCGGGTGGAAGAGCACCACATAGACCTTCGGCATGTAGAGCATCCCCAGAGACACAGATGCGCTCAGACTCACCGAGATGGTCAGCGTGGTCGTTTGTATGTACATCTGCAAAACAAAATCACAGCATATGAAAATTAGAAATTGCTGAAAACAAAGCCTTTACTACATGCCATACTGGGTCGTAATTGGTCAATCACAGCTTTCTGTGGCCAAATATTTTTGTATAATGAAACTGTATATTTTGTTGTTGCCCTGGGCAACCAATACCCAGCAGTGTGCTAGATTTATATCACACCGCAGTCTATTTCTTTCCACATAATCAAATAATTTTCACTGAAATCAATATTTTAAGTCCATGTATTTACTTATTTGGTTGGCAAGGAATAATGTAAGGGATAATGCAGGTCATTATTACAAACTAAAGCACTTCAGGATGGCACAATAGCCTTCTGCTTCGCCTATCGGGGGTGTATTATGCAATAATGAAGACTTGTTCACATGACCTGGGACCTTCATCTCACGAGGGCTTGTTGACACAATAAACCCCTGATCTAACTGACACAGTCAATATGTCAAATCTCAACAGAGAGTCATAACCTAGTGACTCAACATGCCCAAAGCACGAAGCACCATCACCATATTCGAATATGCGTAATTCTCTGCTACATAATATGCAAATGACTAGAATGTCAGAATACACAGTATTCATGATATAACGGGCAGATGACAGACAGCATTTGCTGAGATTATGAAGTGTTTAAACCAAGGTTATTACAGTTAACTAAAACCATAAAAAAATGTAACTCAAACTAAATAAAAATTAATAAATGTGACCCTGGACTACAAAACTAGTCTTAAGTGTCAATTTTTCAAAATCGAGATTTATACATCATCTGAAAGCGGAATAAATAAGCTTTCCATTATGTATGGTTTGTTAGGATAGGGCAATATTTGGTTGAGATACAACTATTTGAAAATCTGGAATATGTAACTAAATACTGAGAAAATCACCTTTAAAATTATCCAAATGAAGTCCTTAGCAATGCATGTCACTAATCAAAAATGAAGTTTTGATATATTTACGGTAGGAAATTTACAAAATATCTTCATGGAACATGATCTTTACTTAATATCCTAACGATTTTTGGCATAAAAGAAAAACGTCTCTAGGTTACGTATGTAACCATGGTTCCCCGAGGGAACGAGACGCTGCGTCGAGTCGCTTTGGGAACGCCCTTGCGTGACCGCGTTCTGAAGCACGTGTCAAATCCGTCCAATGGAGCAGCGAGACGTCACGAGCAGGGTGACGTAAGCACCAGAAAGCATAAAGGCACATCCGGCCGGGCGCAAACCAGCTTCGATGAAGTAGCGCCTGCAGGGATGCAGGGAGTATGGAAAAGAGACGCAGCGTCTCGTTCCCTGGGGGAACCATGGTTACACACGTAACCTAGAGACGTTCCCCTTCAGGAACTCGAGCTGCGTCGAGTCGCTTTGGGAACGAGAATACCAACTGCGCCATACTACCAAGTCCCTGCCTGTGTGTGTGTCCTATGAGCACATCACGAAGAGAGAACTTGGGAACCTGGGGTAGAAGCCAGGTCTAGGTTGTAAAAGCGGACAAAAGTGTGTGGAGAGGACCAGCCCGCCACAGCACAAATGTCCTGCAAGGCCACACCCAGGCTGAAAGCCTTGGAGGCCGCCATACTCCTGGTCGAATGCGCTCTGACCCCCATAGGTGACGGGAGGCCAGAGGACTCATAGGCTAGTGAGATGGCCTCGACCACCCACCTACTCATAGTCTGCTTGGTCGCCGGAAATCCCTTCAGAGTGGAGGGAGATAACCCTGCGGAGAATCTATCCTGCAGAAACTCCAGAACTGTACCAATTGGGCAGTTGACTGCGTCCTGCAGAGTAAATAGACAGACACATACACAGAGCGCTACTGAAGAGCAGAAGCTGGTTTGCGCCCGGCCAGATGCACTTTTATGCTTTCTGGTGCTTACGTCACCCTGCTCGTGACGTCTCGCTGCTCCATTGGACGGATATGACACGTGCTTCAGAACGCGGTCACGCAAGGGCGTTCCCAAAGCGACTCGAAGCAGCTCGAGTTCCTGAAGGGGAATCTGTAATTTTGACCCATACAATGTATTTTTGGCTATTGCTACAAATATACCCCAGCGACTTAAGACCTGTGGTCAAGGGTCACAAATAAAAAATTATGAAAAAGGGCAAGTAAAAAAAAAATAAATAATAAAAATAATCAAAACACTCAACAAATTACTAAAACTATTACACAAATTTAAGTGAAAACCGAAAATACTAAAATAAAATCTTATATAAAATATGAGAAAAAAATATAATTGTATATCGATACTAAAAACTAACTCAACCAACCTGCTCTTTGCTCTTTATGGCCACACTTCAAATTAAAAACTACAAGATGAATGCTTGTGGAACTTCATTTGTTATAATATACTTTACTGTACATATTTATCGCATAATGCTCAATGTTTTTCAGCTTCTACAGTTAATGCCACATTGTCCATGTTTGATGTTTAATATACAGTATAGTGGGCTCTAAAAGGAAAATTAATAGAAAAAAAATTGTTTTGGATTTAAAATATTAAAAACATTATATTGCGAAAATATTATTATAAATAAGAATTATTGAAAGACGAAGATCTCTCTCTCTCTCTCTATATATATATATACATATATATATAATTTGTAATACAAAAATGGCATTACATAAATAATAATAATATTATTGTAAGTCATATAAATAATACAACTCTGAAAACAAATTAAACTAATATATAATAAATAATTATAATAATTAAAACCATTTTCATTCTCAGGTTTTTGGACTCCATCCACTGTATATAACGAGCAGCTGTGAGCATGATTATCCGGCATGATGCAACAGAAAGAGAAACCAAACGACTGATAAAACTGTTGTGTCATTTGTCTTGGCTAGTTAGCACAGAAACTGGGATTAACTTGCAAGTGATTGCTTTCATCGCTGGACGCTTTGTTGCATCGTGCCCGGGTGGGACACAGTGTAAGGCATTATTACCTAAATAATGAGAGGGTAATCGTGATTATTTTTAACCAACCACTTGGAGGGACTCTGTTTGTGACATGTTTTCAGTGGCACACAAACAGACACACACCCCAGCACTAATGGCTCCAGCCACTCCATGGCACTACTGTGAACCCCCTGCTGTTGCTTTAGAACGCTGCTGTGTGTTTTGGCTCTGGCAGACGTGACCTCGGCTCTGGCTCCTCTGTGTGCTGTGATTAAGTGTGACTCACTGCTGTGATCTCCATCCAGAGGGACTGACTGGAAAGCAGTTTCAGCACAAGTCGACAGGAAGGGTTAGGACCACATCAGCTGTGCTGGGGCTCTTCTCGAAGTAGAGACAGACGGCTACCACCCAGCACTGGCCACTATAGGCAATTCTAAAGTGTGCCATTGAAATATAGTGCAGTATCTTTAAAAAAACAGGTCCTTATTAATTAATCACGACACCAGTATTTCAGTTTATTTCAGTCTAAACTATGTTGTTTCCACCATTAAATAACCATTAAAAGCCAAAGTAAATTATTAAAATAATATCTGAAAATATTTAGTTTGTATTTGTGCTGTCAAACAATTAAAATAAAAAGTTTAACAAAATAAAAGTTTTTGTTTACATAATATATGTGAGTGTGCTGTGTATATTTATTATGTATATAAATACAAACACATACAGTATATATTTAGAAAATATTGGCAATGTATGTATATGTATATATTTATATTCATATAATTTATATTATATATAAATATATTTAATATATAAACATAACATATTTTTCTTAAATACATGCATGTGTGTGTATTTATATATACATAATAAATATACACATATTATGTGAACAAAAACTTTTATTTTGATTATTCGCGATTAAAGGGATGGTTCATTGCGATTTCACTTTTTTAGCATTAGTTAGTGTGTAATGTTGATGTTTGAGCATAAACGATATCTGCAAAGTTACGAAGCTGAAAGTTCAATGCAAACGGAGATATCGTCTTTTAAAATTCTGTCAGTTTAATGCCTACAAAAATGGCTGGTAGGGACTACAACAAGTTACTTCCCGGGTTCGTGACATCACAAACCCAGATAAACCCCGCCCTCGGGAAAAGGCAGCAAAGGGGGCGAGGCCATGCTGCGCTGCTTTAGAGAAGAGGAAGAGAAAACTAGAGGTGCACGTAAAAATCTATTCATATATGAATCGCGATTCTGTCTTCTTACGATTCTAATGGATTCACAAGTTTCAAAATCAATGTTCAAAAAGCAGCGGTTCTTAATACTGTTCCTTGCGTCCCCCTGCTCTGCACACGCTCTGCATCTCACTCTCTCTCTCTCTTTCTCTCTCTCTCTCTCTCTCTCTATCTCTCTCATTCAGCTCAGCTCCAATAATGAACTGCTCCAATTATACACTTATTTTCACATAGCTATGAGAAGTGTTAAACATGGACGCGCATACAGTTGCCGTACCGTATTAAAGCTTTAATCAGGATAAAACCGTGCATTAAAAGCTAACATAAGCAGTAGCATTTACAAATAACAGCGTATCTAAAAGTATGAGACAACAATAAACAAAAAACATAGGCCTACTACCATTAAAACCCGTGCTTGCACAGGTTCTGCACCATCCTCTTCAATAATATCCTCTGCTTCTCAATCGGGCTATAACTGATAAGCGATATTAACGACGCCATTGTTTACAATACAACCAGAGCACATGCCGCTGAGGTGAGGGGCGGGACGTTTAGATGCGCACTAGAGGCGGTTTAGCCAATCACAACACACTGGGCTAGCTAACCAATCAGAGCCCATCACCTATTTCTGAGGGCGGGGCTTCATAAAAGAAGGAAATGATCAGCCCGATGGGACAGAGAGGTGTGGAATAAAGGTAAGTTATGTGAAAAATTAGTTTTTTTTTTAAACAAAGCATTAACACATGTTAGACTGCACCTCATAAACACAATCAAGCCTAGAAAAAAAACAGTGAACCACCCCTTTAATCGTTTGACAGCACTAGTTTTTATTAAGTTG